GAAAGTCAATCCAATAGGCAAGAGGTGTATAATAGAAATGATGTTCAAAATATCAGTAATCAAATGTATGAAAAGTACAACAGTCGCCAGATGTACCAGTACTATTTTTCTGAAAGAAAAAGTCCCACATGATGTTGAATTTCTAAAACTGAAAATGATTGATACCAAATAAAATGATTTTATTATGAACTTAAGATCTTCGTATTCATAATTAATTGATCTTTTCATCAAATGTCTAACGCTGGCTATTGTACTGATTTTTAAGTCTTGGGGATATATTTTCTTTATTCGATGATACTCCGCCATTTAAAAATAAAATAATGCTATCTTACAGCTGCGCAATATATATTTAAAATGTATAGTTGACTCTTTCAAGTCGTGTTATACTAACAAAATGAGTAATTTTGATTAATATTTTGCACGAATCAATCTAACTTGGCTGTTTTATAAAAGAAAGGAGACATTTGTATTTTTGATGTTCGATTTGAATAGTTAGGTGAAAGAGAACCCAAATTTATGAAATACGAAAGCTAATAATTAAATTTCAATCATAGTATTATTATCTTTTCTGTTATCTCTATTCATGCATGAATTGATATGAGATATCTTTTTTCATTTCCTTGGTTATTATTCTGAATTGAATTCAGATTATTAAGTAATGTTCCAATTATTGGTTATCGATAATATGTATTTACTATTCGATTTCATATAATGCTTTATATTGTTTAAGCATATGTAGAAAAAATATTACTGCTATTTTTATATTAGTTACGATATTTATTTTCATAAATGTCTCGTACAATTAAAATAATTAGATTACTTTAGTCTTTTGACAACAAACGGAACATAAACATCTTTCCAAAACGATCTGCTTAGGGAATTTTTGACTAGCATAGCGCTTTTTACTCTGATAACTAAATTATTGAATGAAAAAGTATGAGTTTCTGCATATTTTTAGAAAAATGTACAGTAAATATTTTATATTATGAAAACGTTATTGATTGTGAACATTTATTTGAGTTATTTTAACTCAGTTTTACTAACGCAATTAAGTTTTGCGAAATTATTAGTTGGGGAATTTTTGTTATAACTGAAAATGTGCGCTACGTCTCACTTTGTTTAAATTTTGTCATATTAAATAGTTTTTCTTTTTCGAATTATCGTTGTCAAATCGATATCGATGTTATCGATCAAGTTTATCGACAAGTTATTGATGTGTAATCTCAGCATAAGTGCAATTTTTTGAAGCCAACCACTTCATGTTCAAAGATAATAAATGTTGATATTTCGCTTTTAATTTCGAATTAGGTTTGGATTCAAAGTTTTTAGGCTTATATCTGAAGATGTCGTTGGCATAATCCGAAAGAANGGAGCAGATGTTCCGGTCAGGTGGTCAGCCGAACGCGGAACCCCCAGTGTTTAGTTCGCAAGCATGCTTGGTACTCATTTATAGACCCACTGAAGGGATGAAAGGCAGAGTCACCCTTTCCCGGCCCGAGGATCGAACCAGGGACCTGTGGCACGACAGCGCGAAGCGCTACCCCCCAACCACCGGGCGTCATCTACTCTTTTAATATTTATATATTTGAAGCATAACAATGTCTAACAGTCTATTTTCATTAAAAGAAAATGTACTATATCACTTAGCTTGTTAAGTATTTCCATAATATCTAGGTATAGAAATATAGATATTTCTAAAAATTCTCTTAACTGCTCTCTGCTTTTCTTGTTGTTGTTAATTTACGTCGCGCTAGAGCTGCACAATGGGCTATTGGCGACGGTCTGGGAAACATCCCGGAGGATGATCCGAAGACATGCCATCACAATTTTGATCCTCTGCGGAGGGGATGGCACCCCCGCTTCGGTAGCCCGACGACCTGCGAGCGAAGTCGAGCACTTTACTTTAGCACAGTTTGACGAGGACCAATACCGCACACCCTCGGTCCCTACGCAGACTGATCCAAGTGGTCACCCACCCGCACACTGACCGCAGCCAGTGATACTTGACTTCGGTGATCTGCTGGGAACCGTGTCTTAACGATCAGTCCACTGCTGGACCTCTCTGCTTTCCTTCTGGTGATTGTAGGTTGACTTTTTACGTTTGACAAATTGTCAACTTCTTCGCTTGACAAAAAATTCGTTGGTTTAAAATAAAAAGTTCAAATTAAATCTTTATGGATTAATAACTAAGCGTTAAATTTACGTGAAGGGAACGAATATCAATCCACTCGAATATTCGCTTTATCGGCAATGCGTTTTATAGGGAGTCAGGTAAATGGAATATGCGAGATAAGCGACCTGAAAAGGCAGTTTCAAGGGTTAAAGAATGACAGTGAGTAGAAACGTAAAATAAAGTATAAAAAATTAGGATATTAAACAAAACTAAAGTTAAATGAGCGAGTGAAGTGATCTGAAAAAAATCAACGCAAGTTTTACTAGGGTTAGCCAGTGATAGCAAGCCCCGTTCAATATATTTAAATTAAAGTATAAAATCACGAGGAATTGAAAAAAAACTATGGCGGAATGTGTCTCAGACAGCGAAGCGTTTAGAAAGAAACTGAGTGAGCAGTTTTTGAGTAGGTGAGCTATAGCTAGTAGGAATGAAGCAGAGATAGCAAGTGAATTTTTTTTTAAATTAAATTATATTAAGGCAATTTTTGAGGTGATCAATCATTTTTTAATCAATATCAATAAAAACAATTCATAAAAATAATAATAGATTATAATTTAAAATATTTTTAGCAAATAATTCTAAAATTCAATAATTCTAATCTGTCTCATCAAGTCTTTAAATCAAAGTGTAATCAATAACAAAAAAACCTATTTACCAATCACTCAGCTCACTGTAGCAAATTCATTAACTTACGTATTTTTTATACCGCAGTGATGTGAAAAGCACTTTTTATAAGTGGTAACATAAAATACATCTACTTCGTAGTACAAAATAGTCTCATCTTAATATGATTTCACTTTGGATCACAATAATTGTGATAACAATAACCGATTGATGACAATAAGCGAATCCCAAAATTGGAAAAATTCACCAATTTAAGTCCCACATAAACCAAATTTGAAAGTAAAATGAAAAAGCTCACCTTATATTTATGTGCTGTATACTTCCTTTAAAATACAAAAACTGCTGAATAAATATAAAAATTATCATTTGGATAGTCTATAATCTCTCCTTAGAAGCTTATTTATTAAATGTTCCTAAACATAAATTTGTTTAAAGTCATCTGAGTGGTATTGTACTTCTTGCTTCAACACTTTAATTGCATTCATTTGTAAGAAGTGGCAAAACATCAGGGCATTCTTCATCTGACTAGTCAGTTCCATCATCCATCTTTCTTTCTGATAACAATTGGGCAAACTTCTGATTCTGTTAATGTGGATGACACGGGGATATTTGCATCAATTTCCATCCATGACTAGAACTCTTCAGATGTCAGATCTGAAAGTTGTGATATCACATTTCTTCAGTTTTCAGGTCAATTTTTTCACAAAATCTAGCGACAATATTAGATTTACTCTTTTCACTTTCCCAAACAACTCGTATTTTTAAATTGTTATTTTTCAAGAACTGATCGATAGATCCCCTTCAAAATTTCGATTTTGTCATTTAAAATGGAGTAGATTAAAATGGTAAAAGTCCCGCAGTGGACTAATCGTTAAGAAATGATTCCCAGCAAAATACTGAAGTCAAGCATCGCTGGTTGCGGATAGTGTGCTGGTGGATGGCCACTATGATCAGCCTGCGAAGGGATCGAGGGTGCGATTTTGTTTCTCGTTAAACCATTACCTCGGGGGTGCCACCCCCTCTGCAGAAAATCGAAATTGTGATGATGGGTTTTCAGATCTTCCTCAGGGATGTTTCCTAGACCGTCACCAATAGCCCATTGTGTAGCCGTGGCGGTTCGTGGTTCATGGGTAAGAGTCCCCTTGACGCCAGGCTAGCCGTGAGAGGTTTTCGTGGTTTTCATCTCCATGTAACGAAAATGCGGGATAGCTCCTTCAAAAAGCCCTCCATGAAGGTCAGAATTTGCATTACTTAAAATTCAGATTTCTTAGCTCATATATAAATAATAATGAATAATTTTGCATGTGATTAATCTTCTTTGGATTAGCGCGTATTATAATCGTGTGCTAAAAGCTTTTGATTCACTCCATTATTTCTGGAGTTATAACGAAATGCGCAAAAAAAAATTAATTTAATAATGACGGTCCCAAACTTACAACCACTCTCCTGTCTAAAGTATTGAGACCATATTTTCCAGAACCCAAATTTATTGATACTAAATATTTTTCTTCAGAGAAATCATGTTTTTTGTGCCTGATTTCGTTACTTAAAGTATCATTTATACTCATTACGAGGCCTCCATAACGTGGGAGAAACTTTTCATCTTAAATTTTCTTTCACTTCCATAAGTAATTTGAGTTCAGGCAAGCCAAGAGTAAGCCATGAAGTTTCAAATACCGAAAAAGAAATTTTCAAAATATCAAAATGAAAACAAATTATGAGACAATAACCAAGGATTACGCATTGGGGAAGTTTTCTTATAATAATTTGCTTGCATTTTGAGATTTTTTTTGAAAAAAATTTCAGCAATGGAAACTTCATGGCTCAATCTAGGTTTGCCTGAACTCAATTTTACTATACGTTAGATTTTATTAGTTATGGAGGTGATAGCAGAATCCCCGATGAAAAGTTTCTCTTGCGGTCTAGCGTCATCTTAACTATCATATTTTAGGTTAGGTCTCCGAATCATTAAGATTGAATCTTAATACGTGAAAATCTGATCAATCAAAAAAGTTTTCAATCTCAAGATTTCCGTTTTTTTCCCCCGCGCCATTTGTATTTAGAACATTTTTCTCTCATTTGATTATTGTAACCAAAGCCCTCTTCTTCAAAGGTTTACTTGTCTTCCTCCAAGGTTTGCTGTTGGGCTCCATTTGTTAACTCAAATCAATTTTCTCGATATTAAATAATATTTACAAAAAAAGCAATTTTCCCAAACGCAATTTTATTTACTAAATAAACAAAATATATATATATATAACTTAGTCATCACCAAGAGGAAGACCATATCTAGGTGAAACAGAAATTAAGTACAATAAATGTTTCAGTAAAAAAACAATAAAGTTTCAATATATTTACATGTTAACATATAATAACATAATTTATATTACGAAACATCCTTCAGTTGTAGCTCTGTAAACATCACATCTTTAAATCGGCACATTTACTACCGTGTATTTAGAGCATTTTTTTCTCACTTGATTATTGTAACCAAAGCTCTCTACTTCAAAGGTTTACTTGTCTTCCTCAAAGGTTTGCTGTTGGGTTCCATTTGTTAACTCAAATCAATTTTCTCGATATTAAATAATATTTACAAAAAAAGCAATTTTCCCAAAAGCAATTTCATTTAATAAATAAACAAAAAAAATATATATATAACTTAGTCATCACCAAGAGGAAGACCATATGTAGGTGAAACAGAAATTAAGTATACAATAAATGTTTCATCAAATAAACAATAAAGTTTCAATATATTTACATGTTAACATATAATAACATAATTTATATTACGAAACATCCTTCAGTTGTAGCTCTGTAAGCATCACATCTTTAAATCGGCACATTTACTACCGTGTATCCCACTCTCTGGGTTGCTTATTCATTTGAAAGTCTCTTTTGTTCACCATATTCTATTTGTTTTCTTGTACTGATAGAACACAGAAGCGCAATTCGGGAACACAGAAGCGCAATTTCCCCGGATGCCCTGTTGGGGCAGGGTTAAGCTTCTCTTCACTTATATGTTAACCATAATAATACTACATTAAAAATAAATAAGTGCACTTGATATAGAATACATGAACGGATAAAGAGAAAAAAAGCAAATTAATGCTTAATGCATACATTTTTAGCAGAGAATAGCATGAAAAAGAAATTAAAAATAAAAGTTTTATTACAAATATTCTATTTATAATTATAAATTATAAATAAGTAAGCAAAATTTATTTATCGCCAACAGGAGAATCTTCTCTAGATAATTGAGAAATTGAGTACAATAAATGTTTCATCAAATAAACAATTCAAAGTGAAAATATATAATTATGTTAACTATAATAATACTACATTAAAAATAAATAAATAATTACACATGGGATACAGTACATAATCGGGTAAAGAAAGGAAAAAACAAATTAATACTTAATGTATACATTGTTATCAGAGAATATCATGAAAAAGAAATTAAGAATAAAAGTTTTGTTACAAAAATTTTAATTGGCAAATAAAGCCGGGAAGAAAATTAACTATGCTGCAAATTCGCTAAATTTAAACTCGAGATTTAATTTTCATAACATGGTGTTTGGCGAAAGTTAAAAATAATAATAGGAAGTAGATAAATAACTATATTTAAAATCAAGGTTGTTCCGTAGAGTATTCAGCGAATCAAATCTTGAAATGAAAATTTCGTGTTCTAAGTGAAGTTCCAAATTTACACAGATATAATGCATATAATCAAATATTGAAGTATGATCACCTAGGTATCACATTCAAATACTGAATATGATACCTAACAAATAATAAATAACCTCTTTTCATTAATTTAAAGAAATTAAAAATTTAAAACTGAGAAAAATGTGATTGTTTATTATTGCAATACATATTACAAAGCAGTTAATCGGTGCTTTTTTAAAAAAAGTTTGAAAAAGGATATCCTTTTTTGAAATTAATCAAAAACTAGATACGAAGATCTGTTAAACACTTTTTTTTTCTTTTTCCAAAATGCACTAGTTGCCTTTTTATGAATACTATACAATATAATAAAACTCAACACACCTTGATTTTCTGAATTTAATTTTTCAATTTCGCACCAATGTAAACACATAAAACATAAATATTAAGAAGAAAAACAGCGTAGTAAAATGAGATGTAAGCAAATTTATTATCGTAGTCGGCTTAGTTTTTTGCAAACCAAGTTTTATGGTATTCGGTATGCAATATTCATAATAAATGACGAAAAGAAATATTTTATGAAAATAATTTATAGCATCTAACTAATACTTTTAGTACTTTTATCAGAAACATTACAGAATTTTTGCTGCGTCAACATATACAAAGTAAAAGCCTGTTTATTTTTTTTTTAAAAATACTCCCCATGCCTGGAGAACTGTCGGTGACTATGGTAACGATACTGGACTATTTCAAGTAGGGCATTTGGAACAAGTTTTGAAGGTGATTAACTAGAGAAGTATCAAAAGCTCCACTTTCTAAAATATACTTTTTAGTTTCAATAGCAGCAGCTGTATGAGAGAAGTTTTTCTAGATAGACAAACTATATTTAACTACTTACGAGGCAAAATAAAGAAATTTTGTTCCCAGACAGTGAGCAGTTGTAGCATTTTTAACAGTGGCCACATTTAAATTATATGGTAGTTTTTCAAAAATTTAAAGCGACTACAAAAAACTGTTTATATCAATAGTATAAGGTACTTCTCAAAATAAGGTGAACATTACAAGGTTCATTTGTAATATGAAGAAAATTTTTATGAAACAAATGTGAAGTAAATTCATTTTCAGAATATTGCAAAATATTCATAAAGGAAACGAAGGAAATAAAAATAAAAATATGACCACCGAAGCCGACGTCTTCAGGGGGTACCGGCCTCGGTAGCCATAAAACAAAACCATTTCTAATTGAGGGAGAATTTTTGTTTTGTTTTATGGCTACCGAGGCCGGTACCCCCTGAAGACGTCGGCTTCGGTGGTCATATTTTGATTTTTATTTCCTTCGTTTCCTTTATTGCTACTTTTTTTAAATTTCTGCTGCGTTTTAGCGCGTTTTTTTCAAAGAAGTTTTATCTATTTAGAATTAAAAATATTTGTGTTTTCTTTTAGTAAAATATTCATACTATTTTCATATTTTTATCAAAAAAAGGGAATAAAAGGCACATTACTTTAAAAAATGACTACAGCAAGGAATATGACCTCACTAATCAATATTTTACTGTATATTGCAACAGCATGCATGTGAAGGTACTAAAGCACTGTCTTCTTCATTTTCTTCACCGTACTCACCATCCATGTATACTCGTATAATAAAGAAACAGTATCGATCATGGAGAGAAGGGGTGAAGTAACAAGTTACCCCTGAGCTATAAGCAGCTCCCTTTTTATACAATCGACAATCAGATGTTTCTATGCTCAATACATTTGCACCTGAAATTGAAAAAGAAAATTATGATATGATTATGATCTTATAAAATTTGGATGTACACTCTATGACAAAAAAATCGACACATCAAGAAGCAATCATCCGATTGCTTCGAAATTTCGTATGCAATAATTATATGTTTTGAGCAGATCAGGCTGGAATGATGCTGACTGGGGACGTATAGTCTTTAGCGATGAATCCCGCTTCCAACTGTGTCCTGACGATCATCGAAGACGTGTTTGGAGACGCACAGGGCAGAGGGGGAATCCTGCCTTCATTATTGCACGCCACACTGGCCCTCAACATGGCATTATGGTCTGGGGTGCCATTTCCTTTGACAGCCAGACCCCTTTGGTCGTCATTAGAGGTACAGTTACTGCACAGCGGTACGTCGACGACATCCTAAGACCTGTTTTGCTACCGTTCTTTTTGCAGCGCCCTGGGCTGGTTTTTCAGCAGGNNNNCATTAAATGCAAAACCCAGCATTAGATATGATGGGAAGGCGATTGCATCTGGCACGGAATGTTGATGACCTCGTTCGACAATTTTGGCAGGAAATACAGCAAGAGACCATCCGGGAGCTTTATCGGTTTATGCCACGCCGTGTGGCAGCTTGTATCCAGGCTAGAGGCGGGTCAACACCTCATTGAACTTGTTACCGTAACTCTGCAATAAATTATTCAATTGCTCTCAAATTTTAATCATTTACTATTCTGTACATTGTCTTCCTATCCAACAATTTTCGTTTCAATCGGACAACTCCTTCTCGGTGCGTCGATTTTTTGTTATAGAGTGTAAGTAACGAAATTTATTTTAAGAAAATAGCAGCAGCATTATGGCTGACCATCGTGCTATTTTCCAATCCAGCGGCTTTTAACGACCCTGTATGGTATATTTTTAAATCAAGAAAAACTTGATTTTTGATTAATTTAGGAAACAAATTTAAAATAAAATATAGGCCTGCATTATAATTGAGACCAACTGCAGTCAAGTAGAAAATCTCCCAAAAAGAGAGCGAGTAGTTAAAGGCTGTTGGATTGTAAATTAGCGGACCATCCCTATTTAAGTATGTCTTCTATTGCATATGTTTCCTTTCCTTATGCTAACAATTATTTTAGAGGATTATCCAGAATTGTTATCCTGACGATAATTTTAGAGGATTATCATTTGTTATTGAGTTTGGTTTTATGATGCAAAATTAAACTTGTAGGAAACCCCTTATCAACTAGAGATTTCTTCTTTAAAAAAAAGTACAAAAACGACTTAGAAAATTGCTGCAAACTTTTTAAATTTTTAAGATATTCTAATCGGACCGTTTTCATAAGTTACCAAATAAGATTCACAGCAAAATTATGCAGGTTTTTTTTAAAAAATTTCTCAGCATGCGCAGTGTAAAAGGACAACTATAAATACTCATATCTTGCTCTGTTTTTAATGATGATGAATTATTTTAAAAATTTAAAATTATATTATTGTTGTTAGTTAAAATTTGCTCTGAAAATTTTGTTTACTTTTCTTGAATATTTTATATAGTGAGAAAATAGAGAGTTATAGTAAAAATACGTAAGACAAAAATAAATAGTTCTTTTTATAAAAAGATCCCTATCTTCACGAATATTTAAGCTAGATTTACGAAACTTTAATGCAGTTATTGCATACAATTGAGTTTGATTTTACTAAATTAATTACTAAATAAATTTTACTAAATAAATTAATTAATTTACTAAATAAATATATAATTTTACTAAATAAATTAATTGACTAAATTAATCGATACAAGTTACAAGCTTATTTTCTCGCATGGGGTGTTCTGAAACAACCTTTGTAGTTGGTAATTTATTGTCGGTCCCTCAGACCTTTATACCTCAGAACTTTATTGATAATTCTGAGAAATAGCATGATCTAAACACCTGTAAAGTTATAAAAATCTCTGAGAATTTCTTGATACATTTAAAAAATGTAAAGAACTGAAATAGTCTCTTCCATTATTATACGGTAGCTAGGTAGGTATGTATTTTATTTATGTTACACTAGAGCTGCACAACGGGCTATTGGTGACGGTCTGGGAAACATTCCTGACGATGATCCGAAGACATATTATCACAATTTTAATCCTCTGCAGAGGGCATGTTTCCACCGCCTTGGTAGTCCGACGACCTGCGCGCGAGGTTGAGCACTTTAGGGTAGAACAGTTTAACGAGAACCGATACCGCGCATCCTCGGTCCCTACGTAGGGTGATAAAAGTGGTCCCCACTCGCTTACTGACTGCAGGCAGTGATGCTTGACTTCAGTGTTCTACTGAGAACCGTGTCTTTATAATCAGTCCACTGTGGGACTATTGTATGGCAGCGTATATTAATTTAGAATCTATATTAAAAATGGAATAATTGGAACTTACATATCAGTAGTAACAAACTAATACTCAAATAGTATAAAAAGGGAAATTATTTCCTCAGAGCAACAAATTAGTATCACCTTCAAATTAAAAGAGCATAACTAGTTTATTATGAAAGGCAATAATCGTTTTTCTCAATTCATATTTCACAAAAAGAAAACAACAAAAAAAATCAATTTTAATGTTTTTACTCTTTTGTTATAAAAACATTAAGTAGTGATTTTTTTTTCTTTTTTTTTTTTTTAGTACTCAGGGGGTAACGCTAATTTATCGTCTTCAATCTACACTTTTAGATACCTTTTCAAAAATTTAATAAAAAAATACACACATTAGGGATTGTAAATTAATATTTAATATAGAGCAGAAGAAAATTAGTATCGAAATCTGACAAATCATTATTAAAGAAGGTGGGGGCGAAAAGATCAAATCTTGCATAAATTTAAATAGATAGTCATTCATTACTTGCTTAAAAATTTCATTCGCTTCAAAAATACATGAATAGAAAATCGCAGTCGACACGTTTCAAGCGATCAAAAACTGGCTCCCATTTTCAAGAATCTCCAGGTGTGAACGAGAAGAAACAAAAATAATTTGAAATTTAAAACGAAAAGTTGTCAACGAAAAATTTGAAAATAAAGTTGGGAAAACTCAGTAGCCAAGAGAGAAAAAGATGAAAAAAGGAACAAGAAAAACCACAGTGGCCGAGAGGGAAAGATCAAGGTAAAATGCATTTCCTCACACTGTGGAGAGGTGGCGTTGTTTTTGAGAGCTTGAAGCATGTCATCTGTTATTTCCATTTTGTATATGTGTTGAAGTGATAGAAGTTTTTAATCAAATAATATCTTACCGCGACAATTTTTTGGGATTATTTATTTAACGTGTTTTAATAATCTGTATTTCAAAATTTGTATCGACTTGTCCAAGGGGCTGAGCCACAATAATAATAATAATAATAGTATTTTTATATTTTTTGTACATAGGTGTAGCGCAATCACTGTCTTTAATCTACAATTTTAAAGTCCTTGCCAAAAAGAAATTTTTTAAAAATTGCATGCATTAGGGATTGCGAGTTAATGTTTATGTTACAGTAAAACAAAATATGACGATTTGTTAATAAAAAAGGAAGGGTTGAAAATATTAAAACCTGAATAAATTTAAATTAATGGTTAATTAGTTTAAATTTTCTAATTTTAAGAGATCTCTGCAGCTCTAATAATTACCACCATGTAACGCAATGGTTAATTGTAGATGAAAGTACCAAAACGCTTAATCTTATCATAAAAATTTAAACGTTATTCAAAATCAAACATCGAGTTGTTGAATTGTTTTGCAAAATCAAAAAAGTTTTGATATGACATGTAGTTCAAAAACTAAAAAAATTATTTTTTATAAAATTTCGCATTTATAACTACGCATACTGTGTTGTTGTTGTTTCTAATGTCACTCGCCAATACCAGCAGGCCTGCTTGGTGAAACCAAGCGTATTTAAGGCAGAGGGTACGTTTTTTGTTTTTCAGTGGCCTCATCTACGGCCAAGAATACGATTTCATCAACGCTTACGCGTCACAGCCCAGTTCAGAGGGTGGACCCATACATACATCCATTTATTCATACACAGATCGTAATTTTGATCTGAAGCAGAGAACGATCAATCTCCAATTCAATACTTCCAGAGGTATTAATTTGTTATGGGAGCTAGGAGGACTTTGTGACCTAACAAATTTAACGCACGCCAGTCACCATTTACTACACGGGTAGTCTTAGCCAGGCTGGGATTGAACTCTCGACCTTTTTTACATGTGTCCAAAGGGACAAGGGTACATAACTATTTTCTCCCAAGATTTTAATTAATAATGCTACAAGATAATTTTTTAAAGCCTCTGCAAATTGTTATTGCCACAAAACGTGTCTAAATTTGCCATGCATACTTGACATAGCATAGGTGTCTTATATAATCTATGTTTTGCTTTTCCCAAATTGTGTTCTGCGTTACCCTAAAGTTAAGAAATGAGATAATATTTCTAGAGTGAATAGCTAAACGAGTTTTGAGAGTTAGGGAATTTTTTTTAACCAGTAATTATTTTTGAAACTTTTGAATGAAGTAAACTTTTGAATGTAGATTCAATTAGTAATCTATTATTTAATTAACATTTTGGCTGACTTTATAAAATTATTTGAAGTAGAATGTTAATGAAAAAGAAATAGCATTTAAAACATAATGTTTCTTATAATTATTTATTGAATAAATTATGAAAAGGAGGTACATTTATAAAAAATTGCATTAGTAATTTTACACTGAAATATGGCTCGCAAATAACCGTTTTAAGCATCTAAAGCAGTTCTCTAAGGGATCTTTTTTTTTTTTCAAAAAAAAAAATTTTTAATTCGGCTTATTTTATTTATTTTCAACTTACGTATGTAATAAAAAAATTCAAAACTAGATTTGCTTTATAACTGTGAATTTAACTGTTGGGCATAAAACCTGAAACCTGATTTAAGATTTGATTAATGTTAAAATGATTTTAAAAAATCATGGATCTGATTAAATATTTTCAAAATAAAGTTTTTATTCGTTAGTACCTTCCTAATGTGATACTATTAACTCGAGAAGAAGACCACTGATACACAACCACCTGATCTATGACCCCAGCGCCAGCTGGTTGCTTATAAACGAGATAGCATGCTAACATCTTAAATATTGCTGGCTAAAGTCGAGGTAAGTTTCGCCTCATGAGTTAGAATGCTAATTATGTGACGTAAAGTTAATCAAATACAACACCGTGAGCCGGAGTGACTCAAAGGATGGAGCGTTCGCCTCCCAATGAGGTGACTCGAGTTCAAATCCCTGCGATGACTGGTTGATACAAATTCCGTTCCCTCCTCGCACTGACCACAGGGTTGATGTAAAATATCTTCAGTGGTAGATGGATCACGGGTTAGAATTCCCTAGGCGTCGGGCTAACAGGGGAAGACTTCGGGGTTTTCCTCTATATGTAACGCAAATGCGGATTAGTTGCATCAAAAAGTCCTGCATGGAGGCTAGTTTGCACTCAATGTTCGATCCCAGAGTTCCTTTGTCTTGTGAGTTGGGCTCGAAATTACAAGATTACGGCGTTATAGTTCTTAACTCAGAATAGGTTCGGCAGTTCAACAACGGTTATAAGAAATATAACAAACTGCAGCACCGTATCGCGTGTCGAGTTTGTTAAAATATAATTCTTTTGAGTCAACGTCTTTTAGAACCTCACCTAGAATTGCTACTTATTTATATTATTGCAACCCTCGTTATTTTTGTTTTGTGTATCTTGCAACTTTATTACATAATTAGTTTATGTTCTACATGGCTTCGTGCCTGGTCTTTGGGCTAAGTAAAAAAAAAAATCTTTTTTTTTTGTGAAAGAAAATAGAATGTATCCCTTCAAGAGAATTTATATCTGACAGGTTGGGCTTACTCGAAATCGAATGGAAAGAGCGGTTGCTAACATAATACAAGTGGCATGCACTTCTGTGAATTTAAAATCTCTGCCGACACCTAATTATCTCTTCAATCATCAATTTGTGATTAGAGAATTAAAGTTGAAATTAAGAAAAATCTGCACCTTTTTCTTTTATCCACGCTGAAGCCCTCTGCACAGTTTCTTTTAAGGTCTCGAATTCAGGATGCGTTCCATGACAGCAAACTCCAGGTCTCAGCAGTACAGGGAGGAACGATTTGCAAGTGAATCGAGCAAATGGAACTTTGACACCATGCGGTAATCGAATGTACGCCACTCGCAATATTCGTAAAAATGCTGTAGATCTTTGATTAGCAATTGGCAATAATTGGTCTTCGACAAAGCATACTGTGTGCACCGCTCCATGCTTCACGTAACTCATTTTTGTTGAATCAGCAGTAGTAGCTGCAATAAATAAAAAAAATTATAGTACCTCACAGGCACATTATACTTACCATGAAAAAGGGATATACAGTACGCAAAAAATGAACAGACCACCCACCCTGAATAATTTCTGATCTAATGATTAGATCTTCACGTTCTAGGACTCAATCGTAGTGGTTTGAGGATGCGGCATCAAATATGTCTATTGATTAGTGCAGACGATATTATAAGTTACAAAATCAGTCACCAAAATGTACTTTCTCTGAGTAAAGATGCCTTTTTTTCGGCCATCTGTTCCTCAAAATGTAGAAGCTTGCCGCAATTCAGGAAATATGGTCCCAATAGTTTGTTTAGGAGAGCGGTCCAAATTTTAGACAGTTTAATGTTGTTGTTGTTGCTTATGCCACTTGCCAATCAGCAAGCCTGTTTAAAATCAAGGGAATTTTTAAGGCAGAAGGTGCATTTCTTACTTGTTTTTCTTTCATTGGCGCCTTCTACGGCCAAACTTCGGCCAGACACATGCCACGGCCCGTTTATAGGAAGAACCAATACTTCATTCATTCATCTACGGACCGTAATTTTCACCTGAATCAGAGAATGATCAATCTTTAATTCAATACCCCATAGATATTGATTTGTTATGGGAACTTGGAGGACTTTGTGACCCTGACAGAGCGTGCACCAGTCACCATTTAATACACGGGGAGATTCGAATTATCTTTCTCACGAACACGAGTTCAGCGTCCTACCAACCAGGATATCCCAGCCCCCTATGTTAATTTTACTTTAAACGTTTTTCTCCGAATCCAGAGAACTTTTTAAGCAAGCAGAAAAGTTTTTGCACAGAATTATAAACTTCGTTTATCAAAAGATAATACCATGCGAAAAATAACTTTTAGTAAACATTTATTGTTTTATTTAAGAATAGAAATGCGAAATAGAAAGAAAATGAGTGAAATCTGTCGAATAGTTCATGAGAAATCGAATTTTAAAAAAGTCCTACATTTAAAATCACCTGCAGTAATTAGCATATATATCTTTCGCAGTAATTAATTAGCATATTTGAGGGGTCACCTCCTTGAACAAATAAGATTTAGCCCTAGAACGTGAAGCTGCAATTATTAGATTAAAATTTATTCAAGGTGGTTCATTTATTTATTTTTTCACATGCTGTACAGAAGGCAAAGTAAAGAACAGAACGAACTTTTGATCTAAGAATTGGATTTACTCATAATTATATTATTATTTACTATTAATAGCTTTAAACATTCTGAACTTTTTTGCACATGATATCTTAAGACACGAAAGGTACTTTCTCTGAATGAACCTAACTTTTTTCTTCTTCTTTTTTTCTGGCATGTTTATGAGAATAGACGCAGCTCAGAAATACATGCTCGCGAAAATGGACACAGCAAAAAATGCGCTTTTTCAGTTTATAAATAAGTTTAATAAATTAACGAGAAATTACATGCTTACTTCTTCTTACTTATTTAAATACAAAACTTAATCATTACGGGGCAATGTCCCTAACTTCGGTGTCGGTTTGGCTTAGTAAATAACCGAACTATTAAGTTAATACCTTCATCTTTAGAATCTTAAACGGTATAATGAGTTTTAAAACTCTAAATTCTTGCATCATAATTAAATCATTAATTCTTGCATTAATAAATTCTTGCATTAATAAATTCTTGCATCATACTACCACTCCATTATAAATTCATAGCAGCACCAGAAGCTACTTCGTTCAAACAACTGCTAACTTTTAAAGAATTTTGGCAAAAAGACTAATTTAATATAATTTGTCAAGTTGTTGTTGTTGTTGTTGTTTCTAATGCCACTTGCCACACTAGCAAGCCTGCTTGGTGAAACCGAGCAAATTTAAGGCAGAGGGTGCGTTTCTTGTTCTTCACTGGCGCCATCTATGGCCGACCAGGCTATCCCAGTCTATTTGTCAAGTGATTTATGCAAATTGAAGATATCACATTACGAATTTATTTAGATTTAATAGTTTATTCTTTTTAATAAAAATAACAATTATCATCAAAGATAGTTGAAGAATGGAACCAAACGAAATGTCCATTTTCTTAAATGCTATTACCATTTTCTTAAATAGCTATGTCCATTTTCTTTCATACGCATTTCGAGCATTTTCGTAAACACGCATTTTGAGCAGTGTCCAGATTTAAAAACTTACCCATGAAATATTATATAATACGAAGCCTTTGTAATAGGTTGCTATTAAAATAACTAGTTAACTAACACTTTTTTTCATAAGTGTTTCAATACGAGGGTTACTATTTATATTTCTGGCCTAATAATGAAAAAACAAATATGTAGGATCGAAATTGGTTTTATTGTTTTTCAAAATATTCTCCATGATGATCAATACACTTTTGCATGCGTTTGAACCAATTTTCAAAGCACTTTTTCCAGTCCGATTGAGGTAACTCCAAAACATGCGTTTTGAATGCATCAACCGCTTCTTCGGGGGTCGAAAATCGTTGT